AGTCTTCCTAAAACAAGGGTCAATGGCCTGGGGGTTCTCAGCTCAAGCCCTGGACAGCAGCCTTTGGAATGCTGTAGCTGTCACTTGAAAGAATGTACAATCTTGTTGCCCTCATTTGCATGGTATTTACTGAATGTCCCAGTGCAACTCCTCCAGTTCTGGCTACATGCACAGGGCACTCTGCCTCCAGTTCATCCAGGTGAAGGGCTGGTCTAATCCTCCCTGATTCACCTTAGAAAGCCTGTCCGGCTGGGAAGCCTGAGCCCTCTTCCTGCATGCTCCAATTCTCTAGGAAGCCTGTCACCTGTGTACCCTGTCTAGAAGGTGGCACCTGAGGGCCAAGGTGTGGGCTCTGTAACTGGAGAGGGCTCTGTAATTCCTACCCAAGTCCTGGCTGTGTCCCAGGACATTCCAGGCCGATGGCCAGGTGGACAACTGGGCCTGGTCTGATTCAGCACCCAGCCCTGCTGGGGGAGAGGGGTCATTGTAGGGCCTGTGTGAGCGTGGCTCCCCTTAGCCAGTGTTTTTCCTCTGCATCGATGGCCATAGCCCTACTTCTGCTGCCTCCTTGTGGGACTGAAAGTCCCCTCCTCTGGGAAAAGTCCCCAGACATCCTCTGGCCCCACCCAACTTTCACTGCCCACCCAGACCTAGAAAAGTGTCCATTCAAATGACTGCAATGAGGGCTGTGGGCTGAGCACTACGTCGGCTGGCCAAGGGCTCTGAGAGTCCCCACCACGGGGAGTGGAGTACTTCTGGAAGGATCCTGAAGGATGGCTGAGGTGGCATTATCAGATAGATCCTCATAGGGCCTCGCTTCCCACCTCCTGCCTGGAATATTCCAGAGCTTTTTTTGCTTCTCCCCAGCAGGGCCCCCTCTTACTCTGAAGCCTTGGGTTTGTTTGGAGAAACCCCTCCACCCACCCACACACCCCCCTCCTTCCTGGAAATAGCTGTGGTTGGATGAGAAGCTGGGAGCCGGGCCACAGAGGAGTGAGGCCCAGGAAAGAAGGGAGGGGAATAGAGGTAGGATTCTAGGGTGTATCTAGAGGGACCTAGGGGGTATCTAGGCAGGGCGGAAGTAGAATAGGGCTGACAGGGGGAATCAGCTTCATCTGTGCCTGTATTGTGCCTCAGTGTTCCAGATAGAGAACATGAGAAGAAAACGCTTGCATGTCCTCTGCCAGGCCAGGGCCGAAACACTGCTGCCAGCTACCGCGAGCATCTTGTGCTCAAAAGTGTGCTTGTCGCTTGAGCTGGGGGTGAACGCAGAGGCCCCGACCCTACAGTAGTGCGCCGTAGAACGCGGGAAGGCGGGGCGGCCTGTGCTAGGACCACAGCCGTGCCCCGCCCCCTGGTCACCTCTAGGCTCTCTAACTGTCCCCTAGCTCACTGCGACCGACCGGGAGGGCGTTGGCGGCAGGTAGTCCCAGCCACCGGGATCCTCCGCACCCGGTGTTCCGGGACCCCCCGGTGGCTCTGCGTCCCCTGGCGCCCGCCCCTGGCTCGGACCGCGCTGTGACGCAGAGGGCCACCGCCCGCGCTCCCGCTCGCTCGGCGTGGTGTGGCCACTCACCTGTGGGGGGCGCCCGGAGGGCTGGGGGCGCGGCTGACCGGGGCAGCAGCAGGGGGCGCCCCCGGGCCAGCCCATCCCGGCCAGCCGCACCGCGACAAGACACGCGGAGACAGCGGCAGCTGCGCGGGATGGGCACTCAGCTGGCTCCCTCCCTCCCTCCGCGCCCTGCTGCCACCTCCTCCCGCCCTCCGGCTCCCTCCTTCTTCCCGGGCTCCAATCGCCACCTTCCATCCGCTCCCCGCCCGCGCCGCCTCCTTTTCCCTTCCTCTCCTCCCACTGTCCTTCCCGCGAACGGCTCAGCGCGCCGAGGCAGGCTCGCAGACCGAGCTGGCAGCCAGAGCCGGGGAGGGATTGCACGTGGGAAGGCAGCCCCCGGAAGCCTCAGACCGAGAGGCTGCAGAGGGATACCGGCGGAGAGAAACGCGTGAGCCGCACAGACTCCTAAAAAGAAGGTGGACAGAGAACAGCTGCGAGGCCTTGGCACCTCTGCCGCCTCTTTCCTGCAGGGATTTAGTTTGAACCAGGCCTGACCTAGTGGGGGCGCCAGACTTAGACACATAATGTACTGGTGTCCCAGGTCTTAGGACACCGCTTCCTGGTGCTCTCCCCACCGGAGCTTTCTGTGTTGTCTCTTCTCCCAGAGGACTCAGAGCTCAGGGCCCGCACAAGCTTCAAAGCTTCCCCGCTTCAACGGCTTTAGTTATCGCTCCGGTGTTCTTGGGTCTTATCAATGCAAGTTCTTTTGGTGGTGTCGTTATCTCATTCCTTTTTTCCTTTTTTTTTTTTCGAGACAGGGTTTCTCTGTATTGTTTTGGAGGCTGTCCTGGAACTTGCTCTGTAGACCAGGCTGGCCTCGAACTCACAGAGATCCGCCTGCCTCTGCCTTCCGAGTGCTGGGATTAAAGGCGTGTGCCACCAACACGGCGTCTCATTCCCATTTTAAAAGTCTGATATTGGATAGGAACGTCTGGAATTAAACTGATGGGCCATGGTGCTTGAGTTGTGACACTGGGAAGGGACGGAGGAGGGTAAGGATGCGTGGTCCTAGAGTCTTTGAATTGATGGCCGTTCCATGTTCCCAGCATTCTTCAGCAGATTATATTATCCTTCCCACTGGAACTTCCATAAGTTGGTGGAGCCAGAGGACCTCCATGCTGAGAAGTGAGAAGTTCCCAAAGCAGTCCAGCACTGCCTGCCTAAGCCCTCTGGGTCTGCCTGCCTGTCCCATCTCAGCAGAGTTCTGTGCCCATCCTGTCTCTGGCAAAGGCTAGGTTTGACGGTTTGGTTCTGATTCCCGTGAAACGGAGCACCTGATTCTAATCTGGCAGTTGATAAGAGCTGGAAGCAGGGTTACTGGGTCTTTCTGTCCAGGGGGCACGTTAGGACTCCTGGGGGACTAGAGGAGAGCTGGAGAGGCGATGAGGAGGGAATGGTTGCACTGGCAATGAAGAGAGAGAGAAGCAGAAGTTAGTGGCAGGGATTGGAGGCTCACAGGAAAGTGCAAGGCAGGAGGCCATGCTGTGGCAAGATTGTACTATGTAACATGGAATATGAAAATATATTATTTGATGCCAGTAGCTAGCTCTTTTAACATCCAGCCCTTTCCAGAATGGCCTGGGCTTTTAGACCAGGCTGGTATTAAACTCAAGAGATCTGCCTGCCTTCCTGTTGGGATCAAAGGCATGGGCCCCCTCAGCAGGTTCCCCATAGGTTATAATCTCTGAAGTCACCAATGACTGAGCAACATTGATTGAATCTCAAGGGTGGTGGGACTAGAACTTCATACCCTGCCCAAAGGGTCACTACGAGGAACTTGGAAGAGAGGAGTCACAAGATGGATAGCTGGATCCTCTCAGCTCAAGCTCACTCTTCTCCAGGCACCAACTGAGGGAAGGAAATCTAAAGCAGGATGCTTGGTGGGGATAGGATCAAAGTGAGTGGCTTGGGGAGCCAGCCAGGCATTGTGATTGACACCACAGAGCAGCCGGAAGGAGAGGGAGCGAGCCAGGGCATTATGAATAAAGGTGTTCACCCACCTTTATTCTTACCTTGGCTATACAGAGATTCATCTTGGCACTGAAGGAAGAACCCCCTCTTCCACAGCCTGAGACGTCATGCCCATTTAATTTCTTGGGGTGGGTCTTGAGAGTATGGGGTTCTGCCAGAAGAGCACTGGGTCAAGAGAACTTTGGTGGCTGGTCAGGGCTCTAGGAACCAGGAATGGTATGGGGTAAGGGGCAGAGCCAGCTCCAGAGGCAGATCTCCCCGGAGGACCGAGCAAGCATTGTCCAAACAGGAGGTGGCTGCAGCTGGGTGGGGATAGCATTCTCTTTCAAACTTTTTTTGTGGGGGCAGGAAAACAAGTCCTCCTTCACTTGTAGCCCTGGGGGCTATAATGATTGCTGAGAAATGAAGCTTATTTGTCAAATGTTGCTATAGGGAAGCAGAAGTAGAGCTCAATCAGTTCCTGAGACTTAACTGAGAAGCATTTGAGATGACACTCTTACCATGAACTCAGGCCTTCATATACTTGGATTCCAGAGCACAGTGCCTGGTTCTGATAGGAGAAAGCAAGTCTATGTGGCTTGGACTGCCCCAGCCTAGACTCCAGTCTGTCAAGTGAATATCCTGTTTGCATTCCACTGGCTGAGATGGGCAGACAGGCAGCTAGGCTCCCAGTTGGTTGGCTATTAGGCCTACTGAGACTAGCTTCTGGGATGAAGCCTGGGAAACCTCTATTTAGCCGCACTGACAAGCTCTCAGCACAGCCGCTCACGGATTACTTCCTGTCAGTTCTGGACCTATTGGAAAATAGGAATACAAAGTGGCAGCTTCAAACCGTCTCAGAGTTCCATGACTGCCAAGGCTACACAGAGAAACCCTGTCTCACAAAACCCACCAAACCAAACAACAAAACGGAGAAGCAGCTGCCTCTAATGGCACACAGCCAGTGCTGCATCATTCTTGGATAGAGTACCTCAAATGTGTTCCAATTCCTTGTGACTCTGTAAAGTCTGTCTCTTCCCTAACCCCTTTTCCTGCTTTTCAGTAATGACCACTTTTGTTTGGAAAGCTTAAATGTGAGGTATCTCATGAAGAACAGTGGTTTCTGTATTGGCGCTACACGGCAGCTGTGCACAACTCTAGTTGGTGTGGATGGCACCACTTGGCCTCATGGACAGCTTGGGGTGAAACTAAGGAGGCATAGATGGCACATGTCACATCCACATTCGAGTGTAACACTGGTCAAAAATGCTGGAGGTTGAACTTGAGTAACTAAGGTACCCAATCTTGGCTTTGTGCACTGAGTTTACCTCCACCACTATGCAATAACTAATCCAAGGCTATGCAAACTGAAGGACTGGATATTAAAGAGACGGGTACAACAAAAACACAGGGAGTATCCAAAAACTGCAGCATTAACTTCAACTTTAAAGACTGGGTTTATTTGGAGAAAAACAAAAAAACCCTCAACCCAAAGGATGGGATTTTACATCTCAAGACATCTCCCAAGTAATGTCTACAGATTACAAATCATTTTCATAGAAGATATTTTTGTACAAATTTTACACGTATTCAGGAGCGGGACATAAGTCAACCCCTGTTTTTATTTTAACAGAGGAGCAAAGTAGGAGAGTATGGGACAGAACAGCTTTCTTCTGGATGCAACTATCTGGAAGGGAAATAGACATGAAGAGGGAAACTACCTTTTCATTGTCTACAACCAAAGGTTTAAAAAAAAACCCATTCAATGGCGGGTCTCTCTAAAAGCCCACTTCCTAGCTACTAGCCAATCAAGTCCACTGGATGAGTGACTTGCTATGCCCACTGCTGCAGCCCACGAAACCAACGCTCCTGCAGAGCAGGTCCAGGGTTTGCACATTAAGACTAGGTCTCATTTGCCTGCAAGTACCTGATGTCCCACAAAAGGGAAGCTATTTGTCAAGGAGCAGATCAAAGCAGACAGGCCAAGCTACTGTGCTCAAGAGAAGCCAGACCTTACTCAATAGTTCTCTACATCATCCTTTATTCTTGAAGGAAGTCAAGAAACCAACCCCCCCCAAAGCAGAAAAGCACAGTCTAGGTCACATTATAAACCCAAGCACCAGCATAGAGTTCCAGTGAAGGAAACATAGAAATCTTTAACACCCAATCAAGGCTGAAGACCTTTAACTCAACTTTTCCATTTACGTGCCCCCATTCACCACCCAAGTCCATCAAAGGAAATACTCTGACCTCCAAGGGGGTGAAAGCAGCAGGAGCAGCAATTAAAGACACCATAGAGCTGGTCTGTTTGACAAAAGCAGTGATTCCCCAGGCCACAGCTTCTGGTGGCCAAGATTTAAAAAAAAAAAAAAAAAAAAAGCTGTGAGAGCAGGTGTGTGACTTACAGAGACTGCTTTTGGAAGGCTGACTGTGTCATCAAGAACTTGAGATGACCAGAGTGACAAAGTTTGGAAAGAATGTGGATATATTCAAATGTTTAGAAAGGACAGATTTTAGAAGACTGGAATTTCCCATGACCACTAAGTGCTTCCTCATCCAGGAAATGATTGTTCTATTCACATGTCTATTGGAGGTCACACCATTTTCCCTTACTACCTGGCATGAAATAACCAATCACTCCCCCAAAGCTTTTCAAACCACGATTGAGTTTCCCATTCATTTTGGTCCCCAGAGGTACTACTTGTTAGTGGCCTGTAGACTCACTCCCAACTACCCCCTTGGGGGGTAAAAAGACAAACAAAACACAGCCCCTCCTAGGCTGGCCCCAGTTAAGTCTGAATTGAAGTAGAATGGCTGGCAGCCTCCTGGAGACTAAAATAACTTGAGAGACTAAATCTACCTTTCCAAGGATGGGAAATTTGTTCAGATGATGTTTGGGAATTCATAGGTGCCACCACAGGATAAGAATTACAAGGTAGAACTCTCACTCTTCCCTGTACCTTTCTCTACTGCCTAACTGATGCAACCGAGTCTCACTGTCACTACATTTCTGCTGAATGGAGCCCCAGGCACTAGTCACAAAGGTAGCCACTTGGTATCATCAGAACACATCACAACTTCCCCATTCAAAAGCGGTAGCCACATCTCTCTGGCTACAGTGGTGATTTTCCAATTACTTCAGTACTTTAAAAGGCTGCAGCAGCATGCAAAACATTTTCATTTCATTAAAAAAAAGTTAAGAAAGGTCTTCAGGAGATGGTGAGTTTTATTTTTTCTTGTCTGGATAGAGGTTTGATTTGCTCTCGAATCTTCCGGGGTGGAGACTAGAAGAAAGCACAGCACGAGGAGGTCTACTCAGCCTGGTCATCTCCCTCATCCTCATCTTCACCATCCACAGAGAGAGCAGCATACTTGCTCGCAGAACTAAACTTCTGTAACAGATGAGAGGGACAACGTAATAAAGCCTGAGATCTTTCTACCAAATACCTAGAAGCAGAAGTTAATGCTTTGGCATAGCTGAGTCCAGACCACATGAATTCATCTAGGGGCAGCATGTTCCACTACAGCAGTCAGGGAAGGCCAGGGTCACAAGTGAGCTCACCAGAGATACACATCCTTTCCACTTTGCAAGAGGGTAACAGCTCAGAAGGATAGGCCATCAACAGAAAGCCCATCTTAGCTTTTCTCAATAATTTGTGAAAACAAAACAAACAAAAACCCCCAAAACACCACTGCCTTATTACCAACCTCCCTAGTCTCAAGAAAAAAGGAGCCTGGTGCAAAATTCAGCTACGAGGAGTGGATGCAAGCACATGGCACTTACAGAGGCTGGGTTCTCCTCAGATTTCTTTGGCTCAGGTGCAGATCTGGAGTCTTGATCTTTTCTGCCATCTTTCCTGAAAAGACACAAGCACAGACCACCTATTCAACAGCATAACTGGGACAGTGCAGAAATTTCAGATACTCCAAATATAACCGTGACTCTAGTTTGTTCAGTGGTAGACCTGATAACACTTGGGAAAGACCCCTTCACCTAATATCAACAATCTATAAACAGGGAGGGAAGAGAAAACATACTTACCTATCCAACTCCTTCCAGTGGTCTTTGTTCCCCCCATCTCCAGGACCACGACTTGAGATCCCAGTTTGGCCTTTTGGGACACTTAACCCATCTATTTTATTTTCATCTGTTTATGCAGAAACACAAAAACCAAATTCAAGTCATATAAAGTAACCCATTTCCCTGTACTAGCTTTCCTTTAAGATGAAGAAAACATGTACTAAGGGAAATAAATCCACTCCAAATCATCCCCCCAATCAACATCTTTCTTCCCAAATTCCAATACCACACCCAGGCATACCAAACAAGACCTATTAAAAAGTCCCACTATAGTAAATGCCACCTGGGAAAGCAATATAGAAATAAAAACTAGAAGTCAGGTGGTGGTAGTGGTGCAGGCCTTTAATCCCAGAACTGGTGAGACAGAGACAGGCAGATCTGAGTTAGAGGCCAGCCTGGTCTATGGAATAAGTTTCAGGACAACCAGCACTACCTAGAGAAATCATGTCTCAAAAAAAAAAAAAAAAAAAAAAAAAAAGCCAACTAGCCAAATAACCACCCCCTACCCCCTTCCAGGAAAGAAAGAAAAAGAGAAAAAGGACTAGATTGTCCTGTAGTGACCTTGATTGGTTAATGGTGATATTTCTAGCCTGGACATATTTATTCCTGTCCAATTTACACCAAGGCAGGGTTTAACAGGAAAGCCAGCTTTGAACATTCCTTGAAGAGTTCATTCCTGCCCTCTACTGGCAAGAAAAGGTAGCTCATCAAAATAACATTACAAAACTGGCATAAGAGTCAAAATTTCTTGACTGAAGGTTGACAGGCGTAGGGAAGACATTTTCAATAGGGTGGCCACTGGGGTAAGGTGCCAGAACTTTTGTAATCCTCAATAAAGCCCACAAGGCCACTACCCTACAAAAGCCATAAAAGCAGAATAGACGCTAGCTGGGAAGAGGGATTGACAGGAAGGAGACAAGAGAGGCTAACAGGGCAGCAGTGAGGATATGATTGAAATACATCATGTACACATATGAACTTGTCATCATGAGACCCAAAGACCTGAAGAAAAAACAAACGAAAACAACAACAACAACAAAAAACCCCTACAGCCTTCATTAAAAAAAAAAAAAACAGTAAATTTTTTTCTTTTCTTCTTGTTCATGCCTTTAATCCCAGCACTCGAGGAAGCAGGCAGATCTTTGAGTTTGAGATCAGCTTGGAATACAGAGTTACAGGACAATAAAGGTTACAAAGACACCTTGTCTTGAAAATCAAAAAACATTTATTTGGTCAAGGTGCTTAATTCTGGAATTTTTTTTTTGTTTTTATGAGACAGGGTTTCTCTGTATTGTTTTGGGGGCTGTCGGCTGCCATTTATATATATAAATGGGTGCTGGGAACTGAATCTCTAACTCATGGATGTGTTTGTATTCAAGGCTTTAAACAGATCAAAACCTACTTTTCTCTTGGCTCACCTTTTCTTGACGGTCCATCCTCAGAAGGCTGAGCTGGAGCTACTTTCCCTCCACCACTAGAATGGAGCAAGCAATCAACCATCAGTTTTAAAGGAAAGACAACACAAGCTCATACTATTTCCTGAATGCAGTGCGTTGCCTTTACAGAAACACACAAGAGTACACGTTGAACACTGCAATATTTAAGTATGGGAAAAGACAACGAAAGAAGTCACTTCCACACTCAACTGCCATATGCGCTGGAATGTATAACCCAGCAAGATTAGCAGTAGTTTTTTGCAAAAATTGAGAAAAGTTAAGAGAATCTTAAGTCCCTTGAGTGACATGACCTTCCAAGGTTACACTAACAGTATGTCCCAGGACAAAACCCAGACATATCCCACAGATTTCTGTGGTAAAAATGCAGCCATCATAGCTGATTTCAACCCATCAAAACACCAACTGGCTAACAAAAAAAAAAAAAAAAAAAAAAAAAAATCAAGAAAACAGACATTGTGGAGACCTTAGTATGAATTATACATGAGGCAACCTCATCTGTAACACTACAAAGGCCAGTCCCCCTCAGGGCACCTTCCAGCTAAGCAGCTGCTGTTGCAGACCTACTCACCTTGTAGGGGACTGCTGCTCTGTGTCTGAGCTCTGAGATCGAGCAGGAGGGTTAGAGCTTCGCTTCACCCACGCATTCTCCTTTGGTGGAGGGGCTGGCATTACCTTTAGAGGCTGATCAGGTTTAGAAGGTTTGGAGGTTGGAGAGTGACAGTCTTCTTCTTTATTGAGGGTTTCATTTTCTAGAGACTTCTCACTCTCTCTCCTTCGTGTATCTGGGGGGTGGGAGAGGAGGGAAGAGTCACTGTATAGTATTCACCTGGACTGCAACAGTATGGAAAATGATGTACCACCACATCAATTCCTTTCCACCAGTACAGACTGATTTGACTAATAGTTGTAATTATACATGTCCTCTGGAGAGAAATACTTTATGAACACAGATAAGGGAAAATCCACCTGTGTAAGGAGACAACTGCCTTCACACAGGAACAAAGACCAGAAACACTGCACCAGGTACCTCCTACATTTGGAGTACAAGCACTACCCAAGTGGCTACACAGGGATCACTATGTTATGTTACTAAGCCACTCCAAATGTGAAACACACCCAGAAAACTCTTAATACTTGGCTTAATCTACAAACCACCTTGGCCTTGAACTCCCTTAAATCACTCAGGTACAAGCAAACCTGCAAGTAGGAGACCTTAGGCAACAGTAGGTCACAGTATGATGAAACACAGCAATGCCTGTGAGTGAACAATCTCAGGAAGAATGATGTTCCATCCCTCATGGACACTGCTTTGAGGTTGCCTAAACAATGTCACTCTGAACAAGAGCCCGTGAATGCCAGTGCTATGGTGGCTCTAAAAACAAAACACCCAACATACACTGGCGAGACAGAAAATAGGGGCTGGCAAGATGGCTCAGCAGGTATGGCCACTTCTCACCAAGACCTGCTAATAACTGAATTCAGCCAACACCAGGACCACGCACGGTGGAGTTTCAGACTTCTGCAGGTTTTCTTCTGGTTTCAAGGCATGGCATGAATATCCATCTCTCCACAAAATACATGTTAAAAAATAATATATCTAACAGTCAAGTATTCTCTTTAGTGACAGATAATAAACACATCATTTGTCTGTTTTGATACCTGTTCCTCAGGCTTTTGGAGGAGAGACGTGAAAACCCATCAACCATTGCTGATGGGTTCAAGGCCAGTCTGGTCTGCACAAGAAGTTTCAGGATACCCATGGAGACGTAGAGACTGTTTGAAGACTAAATCTACAAACACTGCAAAGTACCTGCATACTCTGGATATGGAAACAGCAATACTGATACCCACCCTGGTCTGACTTACTTCTGCCAGATGTGGCTGAGGTCCCAGTCTGAGATGACTCACTTCCTGTCCTCGACCTTTCTCTTTCCTGAGTTTCTTCACTTCGCCAACTTGGGTGTCTATATATACAGGAGATTAAAAGACAGAAAAGTGGTGTTCAGTTCACTAAAGGCCATCATGATCCCGACACAAACTTTATTACAAAAATTAACAGCTACAAGATGGACACTATTGGTGCACCCCTTCAATCCCAGCACTCGAGGCAGAGGGCAAGCAAATCTCTGTGAGCTCGAGGTTAGCCTGGTCTACAGAGTGAGTTCCAGGACAGGTTACAAAGCTACATAGAAACCCAGTCTTGAGAAACCAACCAAACAAACAAATAAAATAATAATAAAAACAAAGAAAATAAGAAACTGGACAAATCCATTTTATAAAAAACAGGCACAATTTATTTACTTCTGTATCAAAGTGCCACCAATTTCTATTTACAGCAAGTGTAGCAAAATTTGAAGTTTTGAAAACTCCAAGGAATGAAGTCTTTTGTGTGTGATACTATCTCACTCTGCAGACTGCTTCACCCTGCCTAAAACACTGCTCAGTGATACCAGCCATCTCTCCCATCCCCAAAATGCCCCCACTCAGCAGCAGGGATGAAGCCCCTATCAAATACCTTACCTCTCCCGTGGCCGGCGGTCTAGCTTTGGCTCATCCAGCTGCCGCTGCAACTTCTCTTGCTCCTTCTGTAGCCGCTCTTCTACCTCTCTTTCTCTAGCAGCTGTGTCGACAGGCTTTGCCCCTCCAAAGATAGAAGCTGCTCGGCTGGACTGGGAGGTGCTAGCAGAGGAATCATCTTCCTTAGGAGTACTCCGAGGTTTTAGATTCAGTTTGGGTCTTTGGGGGGGACCTAAGTTAAATGAAATTCTAAGTAATAGTTTCCAAAGCCAGACACAGCTCTCATGATCCTGTTCAAGGATATGGTCTGGAAGATGAACATCTTCAACAGGTTAAAAAAGACCTTGTAGCAAGCAATTAAGAAGTGAGGTAGAGGCCAGGCGGTGGTGGCGCGCGCCTTTAATTCCCAGCACTCGGGAGGCAGAGGCAGGCGGATCTCTGTGAGTTCGAGGCCGGGCTGGACCGACAGCCTCCAAAACAATACAGAGAAACCCTGTCTCGTAAAAACCGGAAAAAAAGTGAGGTAGAGGCAGGTGTGTGTGTGTGTGTGTGTGTGTGTGTGTGTGAGAGAGAGAGAGAGAGAGAGAGAGAGAGAGAGAGAGAGAGATATGAACTTAGACTCATTACCTGCAGAGCAGGCATCTAGTTCTTAACATTTTTTATGAAATTCTGAGTAACTCGATTTCTTATTAATTTTTCCACATTATCAGAGTACTTTCAGAATAAACCAAAAATTGGCTACATCCTTAGCCCAGAAAACAATGAATACGAAAGGTACAGTGACTAGAGAGGAAGCCTGTGTGTGCCACCATGTGCACTACCTTCTCACAATAAAAACGCTATATTACATGGGTGCGTGCATTGGAATAGTATACTATTTAGCCTTTGTGTGTACACCATGCGTGAGCACAGAGGTCAACCAAAGGACACCTTTCCTGGATCTGACTGACCCAGAGCTTGTTAAGGTAGGATGGCCACCCAGTGGGTTCTAGGAATTAGCCTGTCTCTTTTTTTCAAGTTATTTATTTTACATGTAGTGTTTTGCCTGTATGCATGTGAAGCACGTGTGTCTCGTGCCTTTTGAGGTCATAAGAGAACAATAGGTCCCCTAGAACTGGAGTTTTGGTGGTTGTGAGCCATCATGGGAGGCTGAGAACTGAACCTTGCTCCTCTGCAAGAGCACCAAGTGCTCTTAACTGCTCAGCCAGCCTTTCTAGCCCCTTGACAAGTTTCTTATGTGGTGTTGGCACAGAACTAGTTCCTACTGCTTGTATAGCAACACCGTCTCATGAACCATCTCCAGACCTTCTATGAGAGATGTAAGGCAGCAGTTACTACAACTGCCCAGTCCTGCCAAGGAGCAATTATCTTTATATTCAAGATAAAAGCGGCTGAGAAAATATATAGCCAGTATTTGGCGGACTAGACAATGGAATGAATATGGTTTACCACCTCCACCTCTCCTCCCCACTAAAAGTACCCCTTTTCATTTAAAATTTCCCTGTATCGACAAACTCCAACAGCTCAGTGATAACCTGTTTAGATACTATGTAAAAAGCTACAAGGATAGGTGACAGTCTCTGTGTACAAGAAGCCACATTTGATAGGACCATCAGATTTAAAAAAGAATACTGCACGTTAAGTTTAACAAAATTAAGTTCAGGTGCAGAGGAAGCTCAGCAGTTAAAGATGCTTATTCCTATCTGGGCGCTGGTGACACACACCTTTAATCCCAGTACTTAGGAGGCAGATTTCTGTGAGTTTGAGACCAGCCTGGTCTACAAGAGCTAGTTCCAGGACAGCCTCCAAAGCCACAGAGAAATTCTGTCTCAAAAAACCAACAAATAAACAAATAAAAAAAATATGCTTACTTCCTAAGCTTGACAACCCAAGTTTGATTTTCTGAACACTCATGGTAGAGACTGGATTCTTACAAATGTCTTCAACTTCCATGCATGCAAGTACACACAAAAGAGTGACTAAGAGAGTAGAGTAAGATCTAGAAAGATAAGGACCAGCCATGGCTGGCTTTGAACACATACAGATCTACTGCCTGCCTCTGGCTCCCAAGTCCTGGGATTAAATGTATACACTATCATTAGTATCAATATTTTAGGCCAGACAACCTTGCCTTCAGATGCCATCATAACATTTAAGAACATAAGAAGTTATTTTTAGTAACATTTGTCAGAGCCAAGTGCTTTGTTTCAGCAATTAGGTTCATAATTTTTAGAATAACCACTCAAAATCAGCAACATTTGTTTCCAACATGATCACACTAAACTACTGGCTTGGACTTTCGTTTTCTTCACTTGAAAGAACATTTCCTTTTCTACTATTTATAATTTATTTATTTATTTTTTGAGACAGGGTTTCTCTGTGTAGCCCTGGCTGTCCCAGAACTTGCTCTGTAGACCAGACTGGCCTTGAACTCAGAGATCCGCCTGTCTTTGCATTCCCAGTGCTGGGATTAAGGGTGTGCATAAACTACCACCTGGCTTTTTTTTTTTTTAATTTTAACTGAAGAAAAGACTGTCTTATTTTCATTATGCCACCCATATCCAATTGTCTACTGTGCTACTGTGCTCTGCTACTTTCTTTACAATATTATAAACGGTGTTTTCAAAGCTCAGAGGTAGGCAAATACATTTTAAGACTGCAACTTTCCAGCATTGTGCTCCACTATAACAAATAAGAAAATGAGTACCTCTGTCATCACGTCTATAATCATCCCGAGAGTAATCGTCCCTGGAGCTCCAGGACCGATCGTCCCTTCTGTCATACCGGTCTTCATAGCGGTCCCCACCTCCTCTGTAGTCATCATCTCTGCGGTACCCACTACCAAACGCTCTTCTGCCACTGCCTATCCTGGAGTCATAGCCTGTAAACATACCTCAAATTGTGGTCACACAGAAAGGAAAAGAAGCCAAAAAGAAATTCTTGAAAAGAAGCACTTTTACAGTGTATGTTACTGTGACTACCTCGGTCATAGTCTCTGCTGCCTCGGTCATCATAGCGATCCCGGCCCCCATAACGATCCATATCTCTGCGTGGGCCATCCCGATACCCGTCCCGATATCCATCCCGATACCGGTCTGAATCATAACGATCTCGATACTCTAGAAAGAAAAGAGTATAGGTAACACCACTCTTCCAGCACAGTTGATCACCTTCTAGTTACTGATTCAGTTTTTATAGAGTTTAAGCACATCAGAACATTTGTACTGAATTAAAAATTTCTCAGTAGCTAACCATTTCTTAAACACAAAAACCAAAAACGCCAATGGGTACTATGAATGGAGTTCACAGCAGAACGCTTCCCCTAGAAACACCACTTGAGAAGTATATGCAGCAGGGCCAAGTTCAAGGTTATCTTCCTGTCCAAAACAAAAAACAAACAAACAAAAAAAAACCCACATGCGCAAAATGACAGCTCCAGGCCGTTCCCCTAATGAAATTTTGCTGGGTTAAAGTGGTTTTTTCCCCCCTTGGGTGGGGAGATGATAAAAATATATATTCCACAACAAATTCTAGAATATGACATTTAAAAATGTAAGCACAAAACAGAATACAGCTGGAATTTTCTATGCTTGAGATAAAACAACCAAAGATTGCTTCAAAAAGCTTAGTGTGAGGATCAGCCAGATAGCTCAATAAATCAGGGCTCATGACTCTCAAAAATTGACCTCTGACCTCCCCCAACTTATGCTAAGGCATACATGTGCTTGGCTACCCTTAAAAATGTTAAAAAAAAAAAGGGGGGGTGGTGGTGGTGGTGAAGCCTGGAGAGATGGCTCAGCGTTAAGAGCACTGGCTGCTCTTCCAGGGGACCAGAGTTCAATTCCCACTGGGCATATAGCAGCTCATGTCAATCTGTGTCTCTAGTTCCAGGGGATCTGAAAGCTTTAGATAAGACATAAATGCAAACAAACAAAATGCCCATAAAATAAATCATAAAAAAGCTGTGGTGGCTAGAGAGATGACTCTGCTATAGGAGTTCTCACTGCTCTTCCACAGGACCCGAGTTGGTTTCTACAACCCACACCAGGAGGGCAACAACTGGTTTTTAACTCCAGCTAGTGTCCAATGCTTCACCGTCTCTGCAGACACTATACTTGTGTGCAAATCCCCCCCATTAAAAACTATATATATAAAATTAAGACAGGGTTTTTCTATGTAGACCAGGCTATCCTCAAATCCAAGAGATCTGCCAGCCCCTGCCTCCCAATTGCTGGCATTAAAGGTGTATGTCATCACACCTGATAAAAAATAAAATCTTAAGCTGTCAGTCTTAGCAAACAGGAGGGCCATGTAGGTATAGCATAGAGTGCCAGGCCAGCCAGGACTACATCATGGAAACACCTCAAAAACAAACAAAACTTTTACAACACAGGACTGCTCTCAAATAGCCTTTTTCTGAGCTTTAAGTTTTATTCTTAATATTACATATACATTGTGATATAATATGAAGAATTTCCATTATTTGCCATGTTTCATCTGCCCTCTCACACCACACTCACTATGCTTCTTTACAAATAATCATGTCCAAAGAGAAATGCCTATACTTTCTGTTAGGATTTTCTTTAATAGGAGCTTAAAATTCCTTTTCTGCATTTGTCTATGCTCTGTATTATCAAACCCCAAATAAACACCCCCCAAACAAGTAGAAACAATAGAAACTTTATCTCTGAAGTCATACCCCAACCTCTAATTACTAATGTTCTATACTATCAAATAGACCTAAGAACACCAAAGGAATGAATTTGAAAAATTGAACTTACTGTCTCCAAAGCTATCATCCCCTCTTCTAGGTGGGTAGTCATCAAAGCTGTCTGTGGCAGGACGGGCCCTCCAGTCTGTGTCTGTTTTGTCAGAGTCCCGATTTCTATCTCGACCAAAAGAACGATCATCCCGGTCTGCAGAGAAAAACAAATGAGTTAAGACACTACTCACTTTTCTCCTAACACCTTTCACATTACACCCCATTGGCTTCTGTTTTCTACTGCACTAGCATTAGGCTGCACTCTCTAAGGAACTTATCTATTTTCTTCAAATGTGTCTTTATCTGTTTCAGAGTATAGCTTAAACTGCTACACAGCAAGTCTAATTATAGATCTAAGGTCCAATTAGGCTACTCAGTGCTAATTTTTATTCAATGTTCATTGATGTTCTGCCTGAATGCACCTCTGTGAGTGCCAGAAGCCCTGGAAAAGGTGTTACAGACAGGTGTGAGCTGTCATTTAGGTGCTGGGAATCAAACCTAGGCCCTCTGAAGAGTAGCCAGAGCTCTTAACCAATGAGGTGTCTATCGCTCCAGCCCCTTCTTTGAAATCTCAACCTACTAGCTGATGTAGGATGTCCTTCTGTATATGCTGCAAATGTGTTGCTTTTATTGTTTGATGAATAAAGCTGTTTGGCTAATGGTCAGGCACAATATAGCTAGTTATAGAGAAAAAGAAGGTGGAGTCAGGATAACACCATGTAGCTGCTCAGGAAGCAAGATGTGAAGTAACAAGCTATGAGCTCCATGGTAAAATACAGAATAACAGAAATTGTTCAGGCAATTATATTTAATATTAGCCGCTGACTGATTATTTAATAAGCTGCTGTGGGGACTGACGGGTGGGAGAGAAACCAGTCAGTGAGATCAGGTGAGACAGAAAAACTCCCAGCTCTAACTAATATCTTGAGTTGGGAATCCTTTGAGGAGACAGGATGAATCTCTGGATTCTATCTACTAGGTGTCAGTACAATCCCTTCATCTATGGTCTAAAGTTGCACAGAGCAACCTGGTTTGAGAACTGCTACTACAGGACCCACCGCCAACCTGGAAACTCTGCCAGCTTCCTCACCTTTATCCTGTGCTTGGTCAGCAACGTCCACTCGAATTCGCCTGTTACCTAGAGACTGAGAGCACAGGACCCTATTAACTGCCCCTTGTTGATCTTCATATAATGAAATTAACTCTAGCAGTTTGTTAAGCATACGGAAAACAATTTTCAGCAAGTTAACACACTTGTAATTACAGCCCCTAGGAAACTCTTGCAAGAGTCACTCCAGGTTCCAGCCTAGTGGTGACATTCTCTTTTTTGGTTTTTTGAGACAGGGTTTCTCTGTATTGCTTTGGAGCCTGTCTGGAACTCGCTCTGTAGACCAGGCTGGCCTCGAGTGCTGGGATTAAAGGTGTGCACCAACACCCAGCAACACACTCTTTTAATCCCAGTCCTTGGGAGGCAGAGGCAGGCAGATCTCTGAGGCCAGCCTGGTTTACAAAAGCAAGTTCCAGGACAGCCAAAGCAGTCACTTACAGGGAAACCCTGTCTTGGAAAACAAACAAACAAAAACCCAAAACCAAACAATCCTCCAACCTCCCTCACCAAAACAAAAACCGTAACTAATCTAGCATGATCAGTACCAAAGCAATTTTATTCAAACAGGACAACGACAAGCAGCAAAACAGCTAAGAACATTGTTGTATACTCTGACTTGCCCTTTTTTTTATTATTAAGTATACAGTGTTCTGCCTGCACGCCAGAAGAGGGCACCAGATCTCATTACAGATGGTGGTGAGACACCATATGGTTGCTGGGAATTGAACTCAGGACCTCTAGAAGAGCAGCCAGTGCTATTAACCTCTGAGCCAACTCTCCAGCCCCTGACTTGCCCTTTCTAAATTACCTTTTAAATACTGACCAAAAGCTGAGATTACAGGTGTGAAACGAACCAGTGTCTGTCTGTACCTATGAATTTTTACCACTATCTGATACAGATCATGACATTCAATTACCATTCAGTAAAAACATTTCTAAGAGCTGTTTATTTACAATTATACCAATTAGACTATGGAATGTGGTTTAGGACACGGGTTTCTCAGAAGTGATCACGGGTTTCTAGGGTTAAATACCCCAGCCCTGAAAAAAATAAAACCCTAGAGTTGAGACAAAGTAACAAGTAGATTTACTAGAAACCTAGTACCCAACAGGATTCTTTCCTAAAATTTCATCAAAGCACTTCCCCAAATTTAACAGAAATCACTGTAGCTCAAAGGACATGGAGTGTGACTTGGTTTGCTATTTCTTTACCTCTTCATTGAGACTCAGAGCACTGAGCAGAGAATCCAGGTCTTCAAATTCTGCATAGCCAAAACCTTTCAACCTGTCGGGATTGCTGGGTTCACGTGGTAAGCGTACAGCGCTGATCTGAGAATAAAGGAACAAGTAGAAGGGGAAACAACAAGCCATCGTGATCAGTACATATGTAAGAATTTAGCTCTAAAAAAATAAATAAAAATAAATAATAAATCAATGTATTCTTTCCTTCTTGGGACTCTGCTGCCTTCCACTATCAATTTACTTTAGCTACTATCCTCAACATTCCACAAGCAGTTTAATGTTAACACACTCACATTTAATCCTCTAAAGAATTCCTTAATGGAGTCTTCTGTCACATCATAGGGCAGGTTCCCCAGGAAAGCAGTGTAGGGTGGTGATTTGGGAAGACGGCTCCGGTCAATATTGGGTTCCCGAGCAGCCCGTGGAGCAGTGGGAAGGATGGAACGGTCAATTGGAGGTGCCCTATACACATCATCGTCATTACTATGCCAAGTTGTTGACACTAGGATAAAAGAGCAGGAAAGGAATTAAGAAGCCGGGCATGGCAGAGTACCCAGGTGGCTGGACAGGACTGATGTGAACTCAAGGCCACCCTAGGCTACAGAATGAGACTGTCTCAAACAACCCAAACCCCAGCAGGCATTGAGGGAGAGGCTGAGTCAAAGTTAGAGACCAGCCTGGTATTCAGTGAATTCCAGGCCAGTCAGGACTATATAAAGAGATCTTGTCTGAAAAAACAACACACATACAGGATTAAAACAAACAAAAAGAGAATTGAGAGGAACACTCCCTTACAACCAGAGAGATTCATGCCAACACCAGCCCAGTCACAACAAGGCTGTAGCATTGAAGCAAAAGACAAAGAAAATGCTTCTAAGGTGTTATACTTAAGAGTGAACAGACTGGGGCTGGAAAGGTGGCTAAGCAGTTAAGAGTGCTTGCTGCTCTTGCAGGACTCAGGTTTAATTCCCAGCATCCATATGGTGGTTTATAACCATCTGTAAACCCAGTTCCGGGGAATCCAACAGGTAACACAGGCAAAATATTCATAGTTAGAGAAAAACAGAAAGTAAGGAGCATTCATGTCTGTTTTTATCTTCTGTCCCCCACCCCAAAGTGTTGTGTAGTCTAGGCTTCTCTTGCCTCCTCCTCCCATTACAGGGATTACAGGTCTGTGACACCTCACCAGGCTTTCTTCAAGGTTTACCTTCCCCTAATCCAAACAAACAAAACCAAACCAACTATTCTAATCCTGACCCTTGAATTTGTATTTAGTTTCAACATTTGGAGAAGGCATAAGCTATATGAAATTTACTTATTTTTATTATAAAAATGGGTCACACACAAAGAAATCAGTTTGTAGTAAGTTTTAAGGGAAAAAGATAGGTGGTCAGAAGTCGGGCATTGGTGGCACATGCCTTTAATCCCAGTACTAGGCAGGCAGAGGCAGATGATCTCTGAGTTTGAGGCAAGCCTGGTCTACCAAGATAGTTCCAGGACAGGTTCCAAAACAACAGAGAAATCCTGTCTTGATAAACCAAAAAAAGGTGGTTAGACTAATGATTATGCTCTAATAATTATTAAAAAGTTCTGAGGTGGTAGCACATCCTGTAATACCAGTACTGGAGAGGTAGATGTGAGCAGACCTCAGAAAGCTTGAAGTCAGTCTTGTCTACATAGCAAGTTCTAGGTCAGATAGTGCTACCCAGAGACCTTGCCTGAAACACATACAACAACAGAAATACATATACCCCAACCAAAAACAAAGCCAGGCATAGTGGTGCAAACCTTTAATCCCAGGAGTCCAGAGGTAGAGGCAGATGGACCTCTATGGATTACAGGTCAGTAAAGACTGCACAGTGAAATCACACAAACTCCCCCCACCAATCAATCAACTAACACACACACACACACACACACACACAAAACCAGTTATAGGTTTCTTTTAGATGTAAGATCTTTTGATCCTCATAAGTGATGTTGATACAATCTGTTAAATTATGTATGCTCAGGAGCTATTTGGCATGAAGTTGAGGTGAAAACAAAGTGAGAGAAAGAAATAACTAACTATGGGCAAAAATACAGAATAGCCTTGCACAGTCAAAGAGCAGCTAGTAACAGACAGGCCCTGGGACTAAAGGCATGTATCACCACACCTAGCTATCAGAGTTTTTTAAGACTGGGCTTTTCAGTATAGCTCTGGCTGTCCTGAAACTTGCTCTGTAGACCAGGAACAAACTCACATAGATGAACCTGCCTCTGCCTCCCAAATGCTGGGATTAAAGGTGTGCACCACTACCACTAGCTAACTACTCAATTTTAACACAGCAGCCAGTAGCTATTCTGAAAGTTCACTTCAGTCTTCCAGAAAATAAACCCAACACCCCAAGACACAAAAAATTTCAGGACCCTTTCCAATCACAAATGAGGCAAATTATGGAATATGATTGTGAAACTGAAAATTTAGGCATGATAGTTCTAAGGACAGTGACAAAGGGACATTACCATCTCCTTCCAGATCATCTGTTTCATCAGCCCAGCTGACTGGCTTGGGGACATAGGTACTTCCTCCACCAGTACCCCCGTCCTCAGCCAGAAAGTCTGTTAGGGAGATGGTCTTCCCCTTCTTATTCTTCTTTTTTGCTGAAAAGAGAGAAAGATTATTATCCAAGGACACTCAAATACTTAAGACCTTTTTTTGGCTTTCAAGATAATATTTTATAGACTTTTTTGAGACAAGGTTTCTCTGTGTAGCTTTGTAGACCAGGCTGGCCTCAAACTCAGAGATCCATGCCTGCCTCTGCCTCCCAAGTGCGTCGCCACTGCCATCACCAGGCTGAATTTATAGACTTTTATCCTGTACCATTAAAGGCATTCTAAAGAAATCAACAAAGACTGGTCAGATGATTGAGACTATGAAGTTCACATGAAAGAATGTTATGTAGATATAAATGCAGACAAAGTACAACACAATTGTAATGGTTTGAAAGAAAATGGCCCCAAAAGTGAAGAGTGGTTAAGAGCACTGGCTGATCTTCTGAGGTCCTGAGTTCAATTCCCAGCAATCATACGGTAGCTCACAACTATCTATGAGATCTTGTGTCCTCTTCTGTCATGAAGGCATGAGGACAGAACACTGTATACATAATAAAGAATATCTTTGAAATTGTAAGCAAGCTACCCTCAAGTAAATGTTTTCTAAGAGTTGCCATGGTCATGATGTCTCTTTACAGTAATAGTAAACCTAACTAAGACAATAATAGTCAAGGAAGTCAAGGCTGAGGCAGGAGGACGCGTGTGTGAGACTATCTTTAAAAAGGTGAAGGCAAATACAGCTCATTTGCTAACATAACTAGCATGAAGTCCTGGCTTCAATACTTAACACTATGGAAACTGGGTATGGCAAGTAGGTAGAGTAAGATTAGAAGTTAAAGGCTATCTCAGCTATATGACGAGCTTGAATCTAGCCTGGAATACACAGACCATGCCCTACAAAACGAATACAACAAAGATAGATAAATGCTTATGTATATATACATATTTAGGTACAGAAAGGGAGATATAGAAAGTAATACCCTCCAGGAAGTATGGCTATGAGGAGATATTTTCTACTACATTATTTACTCACACAGGGCCTAATATACAAGTAAGGCAAAGGCTTGCTTACTGATGAGTCATATGTCTCAGCCCCATTTGAAGTTTTTAGCTGGTAGTGGCTGTGCACCTGGGAAGAAGCTGAAGGATCTGAGTTGGAGGCTAGCCTGGCTGACAACAGAAAAACTCTAAAACCAAAATTAAAACCACCTCCCCAAAGGAGAAAATTTTAATAATTTTAAATTAGAAACTGCTTTAAAAAAAAAAACTTGCTATGTAATCCAAGGTAATCCTGAGTTCAGAGATCCACACCTGTTCCTGTCTCACTATGCCCTTGCAATAAAGGACTTCTAAAAAATAAAATACATAGACTGCAAAGATAGTTCAATAATTAAGAGCACTTGTTGCCCTTCCAGAAGACCTGATTTTAGTTCCTTGCATCCACAGGGTACCATGACCACCAGTAACTCCAGTGACATGGCACTTTCTGCATTCCTCAGGCTACAAACAGCATTATGGACATACTTAACAACCTCAAGTATTAAGGGTTGAATGCTCAAATGAAGTGGACATGCTGGAAAAAAAAAAGATGGCTATAAATCAGTAGTCTCTCTCTGTCTGGGTCTCTTTTCAGACAAGGTTTTTCTGTAGCTTTGAAGGCTGTCCTGGGTCTTGCTCTGTAGACCAGGCTGGCCTGGATCGCCACCACCGCCAGGTTCCACTAAAGTGGCTCTAAAATGGACAATTTACCAGCTAGACCACACAATCCTCTCAGTCCCTTCTGTTCCTCTGAATTAGCTGTTGACTGTACCACATCTCAAATTCTCAGGCTAGATAGAGTGCCAAGGTCTGGCCACTGAATTGGGCTACAGTCGGGAACTACTGTTTGAAAATAGTAAAACAGAAGGTTCTAAAGCACTCACATTGCGTCAATTCACACGTAGACACCTTTAAGTTCGCCACCCATCCCTCACTGAGACAAGTAGGTTTATGCAGTCCAGTTTGGTCACTAACTGGCCTGGCCCATGCAGCCAAGGATGACCTTGGTGGTTGATTCTCTTGCCCCCACCTCCTCCCTCAGTGCTGTGATCACAGGCATGTACCATCACACCAGGTTGATATGGTGCTGGGGTACATGCTAGGCCAGAGCTAACAATAAGATCACCTGAATGTGACACAAGGCAGAACATTATTTAGATTTATTTAATTTGCTTTATGTACTCAGAATCTTTTGTCTGAGTGTACGTGCTCCAAATGCATACCTGGACCGGGAGTCACAGATCATAGCGAACCACTATGTAGGAGCTGGGAATTGAACCTGTCATCGGCAAGAGTAGCTAACCACTCTTCATCTTTCTAGCCACATTATTTTAGTCTTGATCTTATGCTTTTTTAATTAAAATAAACAAACAAAAACAACACCTGGAGTTAGAATGATGCTTGTTAGAGATTCTGATCCTCATTTAGCTACTAATATCATTAGCTAACATCTATTTATTAGCCTCTTTTGACCACTTGAAGAAAACACTGGTGGTGGTCAAGCTAAGGGATTGAGCTCAACAGAACAGTAAGAATTTAAGGTATCCCCTCTTTACCCATTGTTCTGTATGTATTATCTTATACACCAAAACATAATTTGGAAGTAACCTACCCTCTGAAATGATCTGGCTTAAATCAACTCAGTACATGAGGGCTTTAACTCTTAACCTCTTGATTCAAGTTCAGACAAACAGAAGTCTCATTCTTCATTAATGTTACTTGATATTTCAAAATAACTGGGATAGCAATGTTTGTTGCACTTCATTTTACCCCACTGACCAGCTATCAAAATCCTCCTGTGCCGTTGGTGCCTCCAAAAATCTAGGGTCCTGCATGTTTAAAAGATTTCAACTGCGGGGGCTGGAAAGAAGGGTAAGTGGACTGCTCTTGCAGGGGACTCAATAGCATGCAACTCCAGTTATAGGGGGAGTCTGATGCCTGGCTACCTGTACTCATGTGCATATACCCACATTTAGAAATAGTTACACAATTAAAAATAACAAGATTTTAAAGCTGGGTGTGGTTGCAAATAACTATCTCCAGCACTCAGGAGGTAGAGGAAGGAAAATCTGAGTTGGAGGAGGCCTGATCTACGAAGCTCCAGGATAGAACTACATAGATAGACTCTGTCTCAAAAAAGCAAAGACAGGTGGATCTCTGTGTTTGATGCCAGCCTGCTCTACAGAGTGAGCTCCAGATCAGCTGTTACAGAGAAAGCCTGTCTTGAAAAACCAAAAAGAATACAAAGCCTTTGTCCAATTATTTCACCTCTCCTCTATTTCTTCTTTCCCGATCCCAAATCTTGCATTAATTAGCTAACAAATCAACCAACTCAAAGCAAACTTGTTCCAATTACTAAAGCCTTTTTCCTGCCTGGTAAAGTTAAATCTAAGAATTTAAAATCATCTCCCAAATTAGAGACAATATACTGGGGGAAGAGACTAGTGGTTCAGGCTGACCTGAAATTCAAAATTCTCCTGGTTCAACTTTCCAGGCACAAAACACTACACTATGATCCATCTGGCTTTATTGTGCAGTGCTGTGAACTTGCACATGGCAAGGAAAACACTCTTAATACCAAGCTATGTGCGGCACCAGCACCTGTGGTTGGATGGGTTGTTACAAAAAGATACAACATAAGAATCAATTTAAGGAGCTAAAGGAATAGCTCAGAGAGTAAGAGTACTGGCTGCCCTCCAATAGAACCCTGGTTTCACTCCCAGTACCCAGATAGAAGCTAACAGCAGTCTGTAACTAGGTTCAAAGGCATCTGATGCCTCCTTCTGGCCTGCCCAGGAACTGCAGGCACATGGTAGATAAACCGGAAAAACAAAAAGCAAAACACCCGCACATAAAATACATGATTTAATCCCAGCACTGGGGAGGCAGAGGCAGTTGGAATTCATGTTCTAGGCCAGCCTGATCTATAAAGCAAATTCCAGGACAGCCAGAGCTGTTTCAAAAACCAAACCATCACCACCAATAACAAAAACCCAAACCAACCAAAAAACCCAAATAAATGGTGAAAACAAAACCAAACAAAACCCACCCAAAAAACCAAACAAAAAAATTCAACCCCATCAATCCTGAAATGGGGAAAAAAACCCAGTTCATTTCTTAACTCATAATCTTAGCTTTCTTTTTCTCTCCCCTCACTTGACACCCCTTTGAAGCAGGATCTCACTGTGTAGTTCTGGCTGTCCTGGATTCACAGGAATCCTGTCCCTGCCTCCCAAGCACTGAAATTACAGGCATTTGCTACTTGTGCAATTCAAACTTTCTGTTGTTTTCTGGATGGTGCTAACACATGGTTTCACACATGATAGAGATAGGTAGGTAAGCACTCACCACTGAGCTCTATCTCTAGCCTGAGAAACATTACCCTAGTGACATTTTCACTTCAATAAAAGGCTCAGGAGACAGGCAGGAAGGCTGCTGAAGGCCAGCCCCTGTCACACACACACACAAAAAAAAATCCACGTGCATGTGCATAACAAGTAAATCCTAAAACTTGGGAGGCTCTGGCAACATAATTCGCCACTCCCAAGTATAAGCAACTAAGCTTACCTGTATATGGCAAACTTACTTCTGTACCTTTTGTGGGGTGGGAGAGAGAGGCTTGGCTGGCCCTAAGCACAGGAAAATTTGTCTGCCTATGCCTTCCCAAGTGCTAGATTTAAAGGCAAGCCTTAAAACACACCAACAATTCCCTTGTGAATTACATTTCAAAGTTATTACCAAAGTAGATACACATACTTCCTCAATCTGAAACTGTTTTCCTTCAATTGAGGATACTCAGAATTTGTCTTCATAGTTTTTAGCCTTGGTCATCCTTGTAAAGCAACCAATACTCTATACAGGATGGGATTTGCAAAAAGGTAATTTGTATTGTGTACATGCAACTACAGCCTTTATAATGCTCAACTATAAAGATCAGCACTTTGTAAAGGCAGTCATTTAATACCATCTTCTCACTATAAATCCAAATACCTCAGCACAATGAGTGTTGATACAGTGCTAAGCACACCTTACATACACTAGGTACAATTTTAATCGTAATGTCAAAATATTATGATTCCTATTGCTAAGAGATCTACCGATACACTATATCCACTTATACATGAAGAAATTCAGACTAAGTAAAGAGGCAGTCCACTTTAACAATTCAGATAGTCACAATAAAAACTTTTAAAAAAAAGCCCTTTTATCTGATGCAAGATCTCACTGTTTTCAGGCTAGCCTGGAACTCATGGCAATCCTCCAGTCTCAACCTCCTGAGTGCTGGGATGACAGAAGCCTTCAGCTAAGACCTCACAGATTTAAGTATTGTTTTAAAGGCATACATACCTACCTTGGCTCAAGTTTCCTAGAAACTTAAATAATCCTCATTTGTCAATCAGCTCCAAAACACTGACACTGAAAGTCAGCAGAGAGTCACATTACCAATTACTGATTAAGTTGTTATTTAGTATTTTCACAGAGAACCCAAAGCTCATTTCCAACTCTGGGTTTACTGGCCACTCAAAAGTCGGTGTAATTGAAGAAATGTGGTCAATTCCATACTCTTCAAAAGCCAAGTAAGAGGTAAACGTGTGCTGAGGTAACAAATCAAGCCACATTCCCTGAGATAAGTTTAAAGAGGGGGTCTTCCTGGGAGGGTAACATAGATAGGGGAGAAAAAGGGGAGGAGACATTACTAGGCAAACCTTAAATTGTGAATTCCACACCAGAGTAAAACCAAAGACACAGCTTACTTTTTTTGTTTTGTTTTTTTTTGAAACAGGGTTTCTCTGTGGCTCTGGAGGCTGTCCTGGAACTAGCTCTTGTAGTCCAGGCTAGCCTCGAACTCAGAGATCCGACTGCCACTGCCTCTGCCTCCAAGTGCTGGGATTAAAGGTGTGCACCACCGCCTGGCCCACAATTTATTTTGACTATTGTTTGATAGCACACAGGTCAGAGGATAACTTGGAGGAGTCTGCTCTGGCCTCCACCATGTGGATTCTGGGAATTAAACTCAACTTGACAGCCTTGGCCTATGTGAGCCATATCCTCAGTTCAGCTATGATGTCCACCACTAAGAATTTCAAAGGGGAAACACATCTAGACTTCACTTAGTTAAGACACTCAACTGACAAGGTAGTAAATCTAGGCCATTGAGTATTTTCCACCATTTAAGAGTTTCTTGGGGGGGGAGGAATGGGGGGCTGGGGGAGGGAGATGAGAGTAATACGTGTAAAAAGTTAAATAAAAAATACATAAAATAGTTTTATTTAGATGATGTTTTTCGACAGCAACTCCAACTTAGTGTGCACTTTAGTACTTCCCATCTTAATGGGACCAAGAGCCTGGAGTCCCCAGATTTTGACCCTGCTCTGCTACATGCAAGTAATTTTTCTTCAGCTGTGAGAAACCACCATTTCACAGGTTCCTTCAATTAAGTGCTACAGTAACAAAAGCTGTTATATTCAAAGTTCCAGGGTTGGGAATATATAGCTTACTGACTGCTTGTCTAAACAGGTTCTGGGGCACGCCTTTAATCCCAGCACTCGAGGATCTGAGTTCAAGGCCAGCCTGATCTACTGAGTTTCCAATCTCCAAAAAACAAAATCTTAAAAAAAAAGGGGGGGCTATGTGTGTGATGCTTGCCTACTGCATCCAAAAGTTCTGGGTTTAAGGTTCAACAATGGGGGGGGGGAGATAAAGTTCTTAAACACTAGTACTTGAGAGGCAGGCAGATCTATGAAGTTTCCACGACAGCCAAGGCTACAAAGAGAAACCTCAGTCCTGAAAAGAAGGGGACACTGAATGTCACCTTTAATCTTATAACTTGGGAGGCAGTGGATCTCTGTGAGATCTAGGTCACCCTGGTCTACAAGGTTCCAGGGTAGTCAAAGCTAAATAATAGAGACCCTATCTCAAAACAGTTTAGAGGCAGCAATCCAAAAAGTATTTTTTACAAACTAAAAGGTCACGTTAGATAAAATAAACTGTATTTCCTAAACTAAAAAGCTAGGTGTGGAAAAGCCAAACTGGCATTCTTACAGGTCCATTTAAAATGTAAAACAAAAACCAACCTCACCCACAAACCCACTTGCAATGCAGTGACATACACACCCCACTTTTTTTAAAAAAGGAAAACCACAGAACCTCTAGCTATTATTTTAATAGCACCTTCTGGGGAAGTTTCCCAATTATCCAGGGAAACGACCAAAGCAAGCTGAATCCTGACAACTGAAACTACCAAAAAGTTAATCAAAATGGAAGCTGTGTAAGGCAACGACTTGATCTCGTTTCCTACCCCTGCCTGACATATAGTACAAACTGTTGAATTAAGAGTTGGAAAGAAAACCCGCGTAGAAGATAGGTGTCCATCCCTACAGCTCCGCCCTAACACGTGGGCGCACACTAGGTTCCCTACCCCCAACTATAGCAGCACCAACCTCCAAACCCAATGTGCGGAACCCTTGGAGTGCAGAGGCCAGGTCACACTCCACAACCGACTGAAGCATAAAGTACAAGGTCATCAAGGAGCCAAACCAGGGCCCATCGGAGATTCCCATCTGGACTCCCGCGCACGCTTCCGAGGCGAGCCTGCTTCATCTCGCCTCTAGTCGCGCACGCGCACCGCCGCTTCCCCCCGCCCCTCCACGGCCTCGCGCTCGCATTCTAACTGCCCCCCGCTGCCCCCACTAGGGTCCGCAACGGCCTCGCGCCTTGGAGACCGGGTCTCATGCGCTCCGGTCCGCGCGGCAACCGCCTCCGTCCTTCCTCCGCGCCTTGGCGCGGGCGCAGTGCTTCACGCCTAGGAGAAGGGCCTCGCACCTCCCGCACGCCTTTCTGCGCTACCTCCTCCGACTGGAGCCGAAGCCCACCATTACTGCCTCCTCCAACCGCGAGCAACGGGGTGAAAAGAGTGTGAGGGGGAGGGGAAGGCCTCTCCCCTCCCCCTAAACATTCCGAGGCAGCAGCCCAACGCGGCTATGCCGCCAGCCTGCCGCAGCTCCCAGGTCCGAAGGGGGCCGGTGCCACCTGCCCCCCAACTCCAGCAAGGAGCGGATCAAGCCCGGGGGCTATTTCGGAGCCTGGTCCTTGGCCACGCTCGGCCGCTCACTCACCTGAGGCCGCCATGTTGGGAGAGGGAGAGAGAACGCAAAGGACCCGGATGAGGCAATCACGTGATTATAGCGGGCGCGACGGGCTTGGAGACGCGAAACCAGGAGGGGGCGGGGAGCGGAGGACGGAGGCAGGATGAGGCGGGGCGCCGCCGCGCTAGGTTCGTAAAGCAGCGCGACGAGGTGGCGCGGCGTCCAACCGGAAGACCTGCGCGACATGTGGCCGAAGGGGTGGAGTCTGAGCTGTCGCGAAACCCTACGCTTTACGTTGGGCCCGGCGCGGCGGTCTGGTCGGCTCTGCTCCCTGGGCGGGGTCTCCTGACGCACAGACTTCTGGGAAGTGGGTCAGCGTGAAGGGTGGGGCCGCACTTGCAGATTCCATGGAATCGAGCGGGCTTGGAATCTAGAATGGGTGTGCCACAATTGTTTTATTTTGTTTTGCTTTTTTTCCAAAGAGAAGGTTCGGAGTTCGTTTTAAGTCGCTTTTTGTAAAGGCAAAGCAAATCCGACGTTCTGTAAGATGGTTTCAATTAAGTGTACTTAGAAGGTAAAAGAAAGTAACATGTGAACATGTTATGGCCGTGGACTTTAGCCTCATTTAAGCCTCCAATTTACTGACAAGGTCCAGCGCTGAGTGCTAACCACATTTCTTCCAGGCAATGCTCCATTTTTATTGTATTTCACTAAGTAAAGCTGTTGAGCACCAACCATGTGTCAGGCACTGTTTAACAGAGGTTTGTGGATATAACAGAAAAAACTACCTTGAATAAAATATTACGAATGATAAATACTACAGGTAAGTAAGATAAGGTGGTTGAATGCAACTCTAGATTTCCTGCTTAGGGAAGGTCTCTGAGGAAGTGACGTTTAGAATGAGCATGGTGGTGTGTGCGCCTCTTGAGGCTAAGGCAGGAGGGTTGCTGAGAGCTGTAGGCCTTTCTGAATTACATAACGGGTTCCAGTCCAGTTTGGTATAGGGAGTGAATCCTTCCATGTATTAACAAACGAGCTGGGGAGCTTGCTTAGTAAGAGGGCTTGCTGATCAAGCTTAAATAGGAGCCTCAATACTCGTCCCATGTGTCCCCATTTTCTTTTGGTCTTTTTTTTTAAAGGTGATCCATGGCCTGTAACCCTAGCATTGTGGAAGGCAGAGACATAGAGTTGTGGGGCTTTCTGGCCAGCTGCCTAACACCAGGTCCAGTTCTCACTGGATTGTTTTAAGGGAATCAGACAGGATACTTGGCAATAGTCCCCTGGACTGCAGAGGTGAGCATCATCCACACGAGTGTGGACACCTACATAAATGGGAACACGCACACGTATGCCTCCCACAAAACAAGACAGGAACAACAGAACTGTGGGTCCCTGGGAATGTCTTCATAAGACCTTTAGAAGACAGGATACAAGGGGTTGAAGATAAGGCTTAGTGGTAGAAGACTGCCTAAAATGCAAGAAGCATTTTAGGGTTCAGTCTCTGGGATCACAGCAACAGCAGACTATACACTTCAGATTTGTGCACTTGTTTTCTGTTTGTTTTGTGTGTGTGTGTGTGTGTTTTTTTTTTTTTTGGTTTTACGAGACAGGGTTTCTCTTTATTGTTTTGGAGGCTGTCCGTCCAGCCCGGCCTCGAACTCACAGAGATCCGCCTGCCTCTGCCTCCCGAGTGCTGGGATTAAAGGTGTGTGCACTTTTTTAAAGCCATACTTTAATTAGAAATAAGATTACTCCAGATTGGTGAGATGACTCAGCAAGTAAAGGTGCTTATCACCAAGCCTGACACTGAAGCTTCGTGTAAGTTGTCTGACTCTTGTAAGTTGTCTTCTGACCTCCGGAAGTGTCCTGTGGCACGTCCGTTTGGGTGTGGTCACAGGTACGTGGGAGAAGTCAGGGATAAAGGGAAGGAAGATGGGGAGCTCTCTCTTGGATTCTGGTCGACATTCAGAAACCAGAGGTTGAGGTTTGGAGACCAGAGCACTGAGCTCAGTTCTTGGCTTCTCATGTAAGTGACCTCTCTAATAAGTATTTTGACCCCCCTTCTTCCGTATCATCAGCATTGCTCATTTACCATCTATAGAGATGTACCTGCCTCTGCCTCCTGAGTGCTGGGATTAAAGATGTGTGCCACTATGCCAGATTGGCACATACCTTTAATTCCTGTGCTTGGAAGGTAGAGGCAGGTGTGTCTCTGTAGAGAGAGTTTGAAGCTAATCTGGTATACATATCGAGTTCCAAGCTACGCACTTAGATCCTGTCTCAAAATACAAAAACAAGGGCTGGAGGAATGGCTCAGAGGTTAAGAGTACTGGCTGTTCTTCCAGAGGACCTGAGTTCAATTCCCAGCAACCACACAATAGCTCACAACCATGTATAATAGAATAAAAGGCCCTCTAATGGCATTCAGGCATACATACAGGCAGAATACTGTATACATAATAAATTAATAATCTTAAAAACAAACTGCCCCGGGTTTTGGTGGCGCACACCTTTAATCCCAGCACTCGGGAGGCAGAGGCAGGCAGATCTCTGTGAGTTAGAGGCCAGCCTGGTCTACAGAGGGAGTTCCAGGACAGCCTCCAAAGCCACAGAGAAACTATCTCAAAACACAAAAAATAAACAAACAGAAAACAAAAACAAACAACATGCCAGGTGGTGGTGGCACACGCCTTTAATCCCAGCAGGGGATCTCTGTGAGTTCCAGGCCAGCCTGGTCTATAGAGCTAGTACCAGGACAGCTAGAGAAACCCTGTATCAAAAAACAAACCAAAACAACAACAGCAAACAAAAAACAAGAAAACAAAAATAATTTGGTAAGCCTCATGTAGACTACCACATACATACCTGTAATCACAGGGTTTGGTAGCTTGAAGTAGATCAGTTGAAGGGTAGCAAGTCAAAGTCAGCATAGGCTACAAGAGAACAGAATCGTTTGTCAAGATTTGATATTCACAGTTCCAATCCCTCTTCTCTCATTTTCTATTGCTTTTCCCCTACTGTTTCTCATGCTGACCACTGTATTAGCTTCCTAACCATGTTTCCTTGCCCGCATGCCTTATCTACGTCAGTGCATGGAGTACATGGCACCACACATGTTTTCTTAAAGGAAAGATCTGCACAGTTACTGAGAAATATGCTACAATCTGACATGGCCTAAAAGACCTGTTTTTTTTTTTTAAACAGGGTATACCCCAGCCCCCAGTCACTAGTCTAAACTAAACTGACTTCTTTCTCTCCTCCCTTGACTCTCCTTCCTTTCTTCCTTTGTTCCTTTCCTTCCTTCCTTCCTTCCTTCCTTCCTTCCTTCCTTCCTTCCTTCCTTCCTTCCTTCCTTCCTTCCCCTGACTCCTTCTCTGTCTTTCTTTCTGGTTGTTTTTTTGTTTTGTTATGTTTTTTGAGACAGGGTTTCTCTGTAGCTTTGAAGCCTGTCATGGAACTCAATCTGTAGACCAGGCTGGTCTCAAACTCAGATCTGTCTGTTTATGCCTCCTGAGGGCTGGGATTAAAGGCAGGCCACCACCAACAGGCCTGTTTTGTTTTTGAGAAAAGATCTCACTTGGGTAGTCCTAGTTAGTATAAAACTTGCTTTGTAGATCAGGGTGACCTGGAACTCAAAGAGATCCTCCTAAGTGTTGGGATTAAAGGTGTATACAGCATTACATCTAGCTCTTTCTTTTAAAAACTATTTTATGTCTATGAGTGTTTTGCTTGTATGTATGTGCGTGTACTGAGTGCATGCCTGGTGTCCATGGAGATCAGAAGAGGGCACCAGATCTCCTGGAACTGGACTTACAGACTGTTTGAAGCTGCCACTTGGAAATTGGAAACCGAGCCTACGTCTTCTGCAAGAGCAGTAATTCCTCATAAACTTCTGAGCCATCTCTCCAGCCTCCTCTCTTGACTTTTTTTCTCCTTTAAAGACAGTGTCTCTCTGCCTAACTCCGGCTGTCCTAGAACTCACTATGTAGACCAGGCTGACCTTGAACTCACAGAGACACACCTGCCTCTCTGTTCTGAGATTAAAGGCATATAACACCACTACCATCTTGGAAACACATTTTTAAAAATTTAAACAAGAAGCTGGAGAGATTGGTCAGTGGTTAAGAGTTCTTATTGCTAGCCGGGCGTTGGTGGCGCACGCCTTTAATCCCAGCACTCGGGAGGCAGAGGCAGGTGGATCTCTGTAAATTCGAGACCAGCCTGGACTACCAAGGGATTCCAGGACAGCCTCCAAAGCCACAGAGAAACCCTGTCTCGAAAAAACAAACAAACAGCCGGGCATTGGTGGCTTACGACTTTAATCCCAGCACTTGGGAGGCAGAGGCAGGCGGATCTTTGTGAGTTCGAGACCAGCCTGGTCTACAAGAGCTAGTTCCAGGGCAGTCTCCAAAGTCACAGAGAAATCCTGTCTCGAAAAAAAAAAAACCAAAAAAAAAAAAAAAGAGTTCTTATTGCTCTTGTCATATGCTCCTGTCAAACACCCAGGTTCGGTTGCCAGCACCCACATGGCAATTCCAATCCATCTATGATTTCAATTCCAGAGGATCCACACCCTCTTCTAGCCTCTGCTGGCTCCTGCTTGCCAGTGATGCACAAAAGCTCATTCAGGCTCATACACAACATGTGAATTAAAAAATTTGAGATGTCAAATGTAAACAAGCAAATGAATGTAAGGTGATTTGTCCACATTTTCCCTTCTCCCCCTGGGCCTCCTCCTTCCTATTACTTCCCACCCTTTTTCTCTCCCTCCCCTCCCAGTTTTGATTGGTTCTCACTGTGTAGCTGGGGATGGAACTTGCTATATTCCTCCCTCAGCATCCAAATTTTTGTGTCTGTAGTTATTAAAAGCTGTACCTGGCTTCAAATTTTTCTTCTGTTTTTGCACTCACTTGCCTTACTGGGGATTGAGTCCAAAGCCTCATGTGTGCTAGACAGCACCCCAGCACTAAGCTGCTCTCTTTTGTAATTTTATTTTCAAATGGATCCTTGCTAGGTTACCCAGGAGGTCCTTAAATTTGTTTTTGTTTGTTTTTGAGATAGGGTCTCTATTATGTAGCTGTAGCTAGACCAAGATGGCCTTGAACTCACAGAGATCCTCTTGCCTCTGCCTCCTGAAAGCTGGAAAGCTCGTGGGTTACCACACCAGGCTG